CTAGGGTTCTAACGGTTAGTATCTTATATTTATTTTTGCACAAAAAATTAATTTTTACATGAAAATGAAAAAAAAGGATATAATCTCCAATGGCCTTGAACTTGACAAATCCAGGACAAATGTTATCCGTTACATGATCCTAAACAACATTCAAGAAGTTTTAATCGTCGGTCGGATACCTTCCGTAATGCTAATGCCAGCGATACTGTAACTTTCAAGCCTTATAATTCGAAAAATACTTAATGAAAAGTAATTTTATTACAGTGTTTTGACCAGTGTGTTTACACCAGTTATTATATTCTGGCATAAAAAAATAGGATGTTCCATTTTAAAAATCAATTTGATCTTGACCTGACATTAGCGACGCCACCCAAAGTCAAACTGATAAAATCTATAAATAGATCTTTTTATATCTTACAACTTTTGTCTGAAACATTTCTTTCAAAAACATCATCTTCTCGAGTAAATCCAGAATCCTGACTGTTTTTAGACGTTCTATATATAGGGTGTCCTGCAATTTTTTGCCAAACACTTTTGTGTAGATAGCAGATTAAACTGAATCAAAAAGTCCTCTACCATTTTGCAATTTTCACAATGGTTAATGAAATATTAATTACTAAGAATTACCGAATATTGGTCTTCAATAATTTTTTTTTTAAATTCTATATTAACTTTACAGAGATAAAAATTGTTTATTTTCTTCTCATAGAGCTCTGAGAATTTTTTTAGAATTTTTTAAAAATTTTCTAATGCCGTGTTTTCTCATGTTAGTAAAAATAGTTGCCAATGAGAAAATGCAGTACTAAAAAATTAATTCAAAATTCTGAAAAAATTGTTAGAGCTCTATGAGAAGAAAATAAACAATTTTTGTCTCTTGCTGTTTTTCTTGCTGTTTTTCTGTAAAGTCGATGATATTTGAGTAAAAAATTATTAAAGACCAATATTTGGCAATTTTTAGTAATTAACTCGTCGTTTAGTAATTAACTCTCGTTAACTATTGCGAAAATTGCAAAACGGTAGAGGACTTTTTGACAGTTTAGTCTGCTCTATCTATACATAAAAACGCTTGGTAAAAAATTACGAGACACCCTGTGCGTGTATGTGTACAGAATGTCCGATAAGTTTTGCTCCGGTAAACATTGCATGAAATGCGCTTATTATCAAATGCGCAACTCATGGATAGATAGCTATCTAAACGTAGTCTATAATTGATTAAGCTTTTATCTAAAAAATGACTTAAAATAAAAATTTTTTAATATCTTTATTTAATTTTTTGAAAACTTGCTAATAATAGTTTAAGTTGTAAAAATTAGGACATTGTATAATTATAATATAA